TGGGGGGGGGGGATCTTGAAGTTCCAACCAAGCGACAGTACGTCAAGTTGCGGTTTTGTGAAGATGAGGCTGGAAAGATTGAGAATATCTCCGTTTGTGCTGTTCTTACTGGGAACTGTGTTTTGACATTGGCATAGTGGGCTCGTCAGTTTCGCTAGCGTTCTTGTTTTAATGCTCGGAATGGTCATTCGTTAGAACTTTTCTTAATGCGACCAAATATATTGAGTTCACGTAGCGAAACGTTTTTGTATCTCGATGAGCTTATTCAAATGTGAATTCACAATCTGCAGATAGAGATTTGGTTATTCTAACTAAGTTGACTGTGTTCCCTTCTAACTTTTCTTTCTTCTTTTCAAGAGCAATTTTAAGAACCGCCCCGGAAATTATCTGAACTACGCGAATGGATTATACCAATATTTTTTTGTTATGCCTTATCCCTTCAGCATATGGAACTGCTTCACGGACATTCAAATCACTCCGTGGGCAAATACTCCTCGGCATCGTCCGGCCGTATGCAACGTCATCACCACTCTGCTCACGGACCGCATTCATCAACTGTGTCCTCGCACGGAATACGCCATTCGTCCGCTTCCGCTATCCTCTCGAGTGATCCACTCGGTGGTGGTTTGGGTGGATCAGTGTCGCGCGGTTCCGCCGATGGGAATTCGGACTCCGATGACGCCTGTTCCACACCCGGGGTGGGCACAAGTAATATCACCGCAAGCGTATCTGTAATTGGTGCAGTTAATACGGACCTAATTACCATACCATCGGGCCGCTCTACTAGCAGTCCGTCTGGAGGCAATCAACGTGTACCATACGGGATGGAATCGGGACCGAAACCAAGTAAGTTTTGTTTGTATTTTGTATCTATCGTCTCCGTGCAATTGAGGTTCACTGCTCCCCGTGGCTGATCAGAGCATTTTATTAGTGTGAATTGAATAATCTTCGATGCATCTTGTGAATTAAATACATCTCCTGACTGCAAGTTTATGAATGAAAAGACAAAAGAATACCGGATACACATGCGTGAATAGCTACAAGCATCCCGAACCCGATCGTATTGTTCCAGGTAAATTTCGTCCACTCATTCATGTACTACTTATTGTAAAATATCCAATACAGACGCTTAAGTTGCATTAGTTGAGGTTAGTAGCGCCTAAACCACCTTCAAAACGCCAAATAGTATGGATTCTTCAATCGAATGGTTCTGAAAGAGCTATCCAAATAANAGTTATTGTGAGGAATATATATATATATATATATTTGATAATAAATAGTATATGAATGACTGGACAAAATTTCCCTGGAAGCACAAGACCGGTTTCGCGGTTCTTGCCGCTTGTCAGGCGTATCCGGTAATCTTTTGTCAGTTCATTTATAGACTTGTATCCAGGAAGTGTATTTTCGTCACAATAACCTTGTTTTGCAACACCGGGTGACCATTGGCTAGACAGATTTTTCAGAGCCAGTCCAATGAAGAATCAATGCTATGATTCGATGTTCTGTAAGTGGATTAGATGCTACTAACCGCAACAAACGTGACCTGATGGTCTTGGTAGAATATTTGACAAAGAATAGTATATATATATATATATATATATATATATGTACATGTACAATATGGGCACAGAATACCCTTTCTTATCCCACTCCTCCTTTACATAGCGGTCTATCCTAATGTCGCTCTCATTCATCCACGGGCTCTGCGTGTCTATTTTATCCTCTCGCCTAAACTTCTAAAGAAATTCCACGGTTCTCTATCTCACTCGAATCCGTGCAAACCGATAATAAGTTTCTTCCGAATTTCTCAGCAACCTTGCGGAGGTTGAATGCTTTACTCCACCTTTCGATGAGATGATGTAGATTTTTTTGATTGAAATGCGGACATCTGTCCATACAAATGATTTGACTATCCAACACTAGATACCTGAATGTAGTGCAATTCACTTTAAAAGAAATACGTGAGTAAGTGCACCATACGATCTGTTGGCGATACCATTGGCTCCACTTCTGTTCATTCAAATGACAATGACCTACCTACCTGTGTGTGTTCCCGCTGTTACGCGTACAAACTTTTTAGCATATGTAATTGACCCAGCGATTGTCCTACATAATATTTTTTCTCAACTTTTGTCGTGATTAGCCTTAGACCAGTGGTCTGTTTGCCCCTTTTATTCGCCCGGAACCACCGCTTCGTTCAGTCGTCTTCTGATAGTTATCGTCTTTTTATCCTATCATCCCTCCTCTTCACGACTCCGCTTTGCACACACACAACGTCAAAACACACGCGCATGTCTGTTCACCGGGTAGCCTGTGGGTCCTCACAGTAGCTTGGTTGGCTAATTTGTTAAACTGGTTCGGCAGCTCACACTGCACTGTGATCCCGTCTGGCTCTCTTGTCTTTGAAATGCACTGTACATGCATGCATGGATGTACACACACACACACACGAACAGAGAAACCATACGGTATCTTTGCTTACGTCGGTCTGTCTGTATCTGAAGTAAGCACCATTCATGCATTCGCACTGCGGAGCGCATTGGCTTGTAGGTGTGTGTCTGTGTGTGTGCATTCTTGTTTGTATGATGTCGTCTGTGTGCGATCTATACTTTAGGCATCGGTTTCATCCTTGTGTATCTGTGTGCCTGTGTCTCATAGTTGTGTTGTGTGATGGCATGAGGTGGGGCCAGGGCCAGGGCCAGGGAAAAGAGCTGAGGAGAGGTAGCGTAAAACCAAAAGAGCGTTTCGTGCTAACGTGTGACAGAGAGAGAGAGGTCGTGTGTGTGTTTGCGCACGTGCTGGTTACCGATTATAACACACCCAAGTAGTTCTGTGTGTGTGAGTGTTGCGTTGCATTGTGCGTAGCACTGACGCCGGATCTGTATCAGCGAGCGTGTGTGTGAGTGTGTGCGCGCATGCGAGATAGTGGTAGAGATAGAGCACAAGTGTGAAAGCGGTAATGTTTTCTCCTCGGCTCTTGATCTTCGCCACATCGTCGTGATCACTGTCGTCGTGATTGAAACACTGCTGAAACTGCGATCCACCGTGTGTTCGCCTGGTGCGAAGTTTGACGCGATTTGTCAAACGACCACACTTAGCTGAAGTAAGTTTATCTGATCCGAAAT